AAAAAAATAATAAAAATATAAACAATACACTTGAGCACCGCGCTTGCCCGGGCCCGGGCGTGGCCTGGTCGCTCCCCTCCCGGCCCGGGGCCGGGGCCCTGCGGCCTGCTGACACGTCGATGCCCATTGACTGGGGGCGCCAAAAACGAACGAAGGGTCCGGCGTCCTCTTGTGCGGCCCGACTAATGGATTCTAATGGCGCCGGGCCCTCCCCGCGCCCCCCTCGGCCGCCGCCCCTCACCTCGCCGGCGCCCGAAACCCGATCAGAATCATCCCTTCCCTCCTCGCTCGCTCGCGCCGCGCGCCTCGGAACGGGGGGGGGTGACGGAGCAAACGGCGCGCCCGCGACGTTCAGCTAAATTAATGCAGGGACGTCTGCAGCGCTGAATCAGGGCGAAGGTTCTTCTGATTGTGAGAGAGACGGCGCTAGCGGGCGCGACACTGTGCGCCGGGAGCGAACCGGTGCTATGCAGGTGGAAGGGGGCCCATGGTCAACCGACGCGTATGTAAGACCGAGAGACAGAATAATGAATAATATAAGGGATTGTTTAGCTACTGATTGTTTAGCTATATACCAGAAAAAAAATTTGCTGTGTTTTGGTGGCTAAATTTTTAGCTAGAAAGACAGCTACGTATATTGTTTGTGACAGCAAAATATTTTTTCAACAGCTGACTTTTTTTGACATAGCTAATTTTTTTAGCTACATAACTAAATAAATAGTCATCACCTTATTTAGAAATTGTGTAGCTAAAATGGCTCATGTACTTTTCCGTTGTACTACGCACATGGTGCAGTGAAAGCGTAGCGAGGCGAGGTGAGGTGGGGCGTGGCGTGGCGTGGCGGGGCGTGGCGGCTCACTTGTTGCGTATGCAAAGCAACTCGACAAACAACCTTTCCTGGAGGGGAAAAAATGACAAGGAAACGACGGCGGACCAGACGACCCCTGGGCGCGGGCGCACCCTGACCCTGTTGCTACTGAGGGTGCCACTGCTGCTGCCTGTCCATCCGGCCCCGGCCCGCGATAGGAAGTGCGAAAGAGACGCGAGACACGGAGGGGGGGGGGGGAGGAGAGATATGAGGGCGTAGATGGAGGGAGGAGGTCAACTGCTGTAGAGGGAAGCCGCCGCAGCCGCACCACAGAGGCGGGGAGGGGAGGAGAAGCGAGAGGAGGAGTGCGCGGGCGGAGGGTGGCGTCGCGCGCAGGGAATCGAGATGAGGATGTGGCGGCGTGGGGGCGGCGCGGGGGCGGGGCAGCATTCCTGGGACGCCTTCGAGTACCACTTGGTGGTGGACCGTGCAGGCGTGGCGCGGCCTCCTAGGGGAGCATGAGGGGCGGC